TGTTCCTTCGTAATTTGGGGAGAATCGTGTGTTTTTAAACATAATTGCGATGGTTTGCGTGGTTCAAATATATCGACGTTAAGTGTGTGGTCAGTTATAGAAATGTTATGATTAGTTTTCCTGTTATCCCTTGCACAGTTACTGTAACTGGGTCTTGCACTAACAGGGATTCGGACTATGTTATCCCATTCTTCGTCAGCACAACTGCTTCGGGTTGAATCTAGATCAACATTCTTAAGGGGATGGACGCCACTTATATCGGGATTGCTTTCTACTGGGTTTCGAAATTTAGGAGATTCAGAAGAGTTTTTTGGTGGTGGCATACTTGTAAAGCTTGACGTCCTCTTAGAATCGGAGTTAATTTTTTGACCACTAGGATTATGATACGTTTGGGAGTTTGACGCTGATGGTCTGTAGCTATCTCTTCCTGCTTTTCACTGGCATTGTGTTCTATCTGGAAGAATCTTAATATCCTTGAAAATCTGTTTTTGTCTCAATGAATTGGAGATAGTTAAAAATTCACTGGCATCTACAGATGGGTTAAATTTGAACTAGATCGGTGAGTGTATACCATCGTGACTTCTTTTTAATCTTGTGCATACGCATGGTACGTGTGTCATATTGCTGGCTCTAGGCAGACTAGATTTGATATTTTTAAGGGCATATGTGTCCGGCATATTAAACACAATCACATTGCTAGATCATCTCATCATTTCAAATACCTATGATGAAACACGATCTAGGAAATTATTTATGTCATTTATTTGATCTGGAGTCTCTGTGAGGTTGGGGTTGATGAGATATTTATGCGGATTAGGAATGTTAATGTTAACTTGCAACTTTTTTATATCATCCATATGGTTGCAGTTGCGACTATCATCACTGTTTACCAACAAGGTCTTCAACATGTCTGGAATGGAGACAACTGGCAAAAGCTTGTCTGCTTCCGGATGAACGGAGTAGCTCGTCTCGTTGAAGCTGTCGGAAATGGTGTCAGTAGTCGTGTTAGAGCGTGTTGTTTTCCCAAGTTTGGCTGGACGCTTAGAAGCAGGGGTCTTCATTCTCTTTTGTGGCAGGATTAGAAAGTGACGTATAGCAGATGGATTGAAAATGCTGGAAATAGAAATGGGTGAAAGAATCAATGCCTAGGGCTCAATTTAGTGTAGAAATCGAAACCTATGTTTTAACGAAGAGTAAATGTATCATGGGGATTAGTGAAGGTGTCAAAAACAAGAGATGAGAATGGTAGGAAGATAGTAGTGGAGATGTTCTATTTATGTCAGTATGTATGGAGGCAAAATAGAATATAATGGGGCGCGTTGTGTAAATTTTAACAAACATATTACACGATAGATAGCCCCATATAACAAAGTTTTTTGAAAGTATCGATAATAAGCATCAAAAAATCAAAGTGATTATGGTATGTGGTACATATATATATATATATATATATATATATATATAATCGGAAGGAGTGAAGATAAGTAGTTTAAAGGATTATTATGTTGCTTTATGGACAAATATAAAAAACAGCTTTTTGGATAAAAATACTATCCATAAAACTATGGCACTTACCGAATTGGACAGGTAATTTCGGAAGTTAAACGAGTTATAGTACCAAATTACGATTAAAATGACAGTTCATAAAGTAGTGAGTACAGTGCTTTGACATGCACGATTACATATATTTCTAGATATTATGTGGAGGTGTGAATAGATCCGTTTGGATGCAGAAGTGTTTCTTCCATAGGATTTCTTGCAACTCGTTTTTGATATTATAACTTTTGTGGAGTCATAAGCGGACTCCAATTTAACGTGATTGTTTAATTTTCGTTCGTTTCTACACCAATCACTCTCTTTTCTCGTTTTCTTTTCATCTATCTTCTTAACAATCTGCCGCCATAAATACTACTTACATCTGTTGACATCAGTAGCACACACCACATTATTACATAAATAAACTGTTCGTTCGTCATGTTGAACAAACCTTTATGCTTGTCACACCGAGCAAAATTCATAATGAGTCGGTGCAGAAAATGCTGACTTGAGATAAAAATACCTTACATCTAAAAAGTGGCACATTTCCTCTGGAAACATGTTCTTCCTTTAAATGCACAAAAAATAAGTCTTCACGTCATTTTATTTACGACTATCCTATATCCGTTTTCCATATTTCTAGATATCCTTACTGAAACTGTGGTATATTCTTGATATGCCGTATTCAAATCATGCAACATTTGCTCACATAACTTTCTTACATCTAACTTTGTGATTTTAAGGCAGTCATTACTCACTTAAGTTGTGTTAGGTGATGAATCCGTTTTCTGTGAGTCACATCTTGATATATTTTTAGGTAAATTTGTGTTTAAATTCATACACGTGAATGATGTATACACACCCAATGTACTAAGGAAGATCGTCAACATCGTAAGAAATTCATACGGCGGACCACATTGCAAAGAAATGCATCGCAGAATATTAACAAGCACATTCCGAGTGAGGACCGGAGTCAGACAAGACTACTTACATTGCTTCCACATCTGAGAGGAAACACGGGATACAATGGACAACTTGGACGCGACTAGATGATCTGGACTTGACCGATAACCCGGCCCTCTTATCCCATACACATCAACAAATGCGGATCGAGACTACTAGTGTAGCAGCATTCACTTCATCAGTAGGCCTCAACATACACAAGGGAGAAAGTAGGATACTCAAATACAACACGAAGAACATCGACTCAATCTTACTTGATGGAGAAGCTCTGGAAGTAGCGTAAACATTCACATATCTGTGTAGAAACAAAGAGGACCCGATGCAGATGTGAAGGCAATGAATGGCAAGGCAAGAGCAGCAGAAAATAACTATCAGCCAATATGGAATTCAAAATCTATAATACGAACGTCTATTGTATTGGACTGAAACTTGGAGAACTACCACAACCGCCACCAAAAAGGTAAAAGCATTTATAAACAATCGTTTACGGAAGATACCAAGTGTCCGTCGGACGGGTACCATCAGCGACAGCATACTGTGGGAGAGAACAAACCAGCTTCCAACTGAATAGGAAATTAGGAAACGACGTCAGAGGTGGATAGCTCATACAATACGGCAACCATCAGACTGGATAACAGGGCAAGCGCTAACTTGGAATCTTGCAGGGAAATAGAAACGAAAGAGGCCGAAGAACACAATGTGTAGTTAATTGAAAGCAGACATGAAAGGGATGAATAGCAACTGATTAAGTTTGTTTACGATATTTGGATAGAGAGTGTTGTTGAGCGTCTTGCTTTCCTCGAAGAGGGGTTACTGGCCCAAGGTAGTAATTTCTTCCTTGCAGATAATCGGTATGTTTTTGAAGATCAGACTGGTATTAGGAAGCTAATATACTTTATTTGTAATCATAAACTTCCACTTCGTATTTAATTGTTTTATGCAAACAGTGTGCAGTTCTTCAGAATTTACTGATTTTGCTTGTTTTTAGGTAGATTTTTCATTGTTTTTGACTCGGCGACGACTCACGAAGCAGTTAAGTAAACATCTGACAGCCGGATAGAGCATGGGGAGTTATACCTCACCAAAATTATGTAAGGTGACACGCTTGATGCTCTTCCTCATGTTTTTCTCGTTTTTTATGTTTCATTTTCCTACTAGCTCCGATTTCCGTATTGAGGGAACCTGCATCGAATTATGTTCGGTTATGTGTGTAGAGAGGGTAACAAGCTGATATACGATATCTATTGGGTATCGTTGAATATTGATTGAGTGGTGGTCTTCGTAAAACGTACAGGATGAAAGTCAAACTCTAGACGATTAAGCCATTCTTCATTAGGCTTTGGAAACGAAATTCACACATATATAAGATTTGGTGATCCTTCCCTTCTCTTTCTGTAAACACCAGGGGAACTATTCTTGCACTGAAAATTTCAGCCTATTTTCATCTTACTTATAACGCTTTGAAAGTACTAGCGTGTGTTTTTGCAAATCGCATTGTATAAAAAAGCGATAGATAAACTGACATACAGTTATCTAGATTAACTTGTCTTTGGAGATGCGAATACCGTGATAGTACTTCATCATGTGATATTCCTATGGAACTTCCGTTGTCTCTGGGGGAGAATTCCAGTCGCTTAATTCTAAATTCGAACTCACGGCTGTAGTAACAGACGACCGGTCAGTTAACTTAATGAGATGGGAGCTATGGATCTCAGCATGTGTTAGCCTTTTGATCACCCATAACACAACCAAAGCCTCCTTTCAGATCACGAAATACCACTACTTTTCTTTGCAAATTCATTTCGAAATAAAATTGTTAGGTTTCCTATCCGGCTTCAGGGCTGCATGTATCCTCTGTAGAGATGCGTCCGCTATGAGGATTAACTTTTTGATGACGAAAACCATTTAAGGAAGGCTTCACTACTGAAGCACTGTTAAGTGTTTCTTAGTGTATCCTCGCTTGATTCCTATGTGAATTATTTACTAGAATTCAGAACACAAAGGAGGAATGATGTTTGCATGAAGTTTTAATTAGGTCTAAGACAAAACGGAAGAGCGTTAACCTGTGATACTTTTGATAAGATATTCGTAGGAGAAAGTCCTTAAATCAGTAGGTCATAGGTACTCATATCAGGTATAAAACTCTTCGCATCAACTTTGAATACTAAGTAGTTGATAGAATCACGTTAAAACTGTTGCTTGACTGGATATACGGCAGATTTTTTGTAACAAAAGTATCTTAGTAACTTTAGAGCAATGATTCTGCAATAACACTGAAATAGGGTTAATAAACATCAATTAAAATAAAGTGTATTAATCGTTCACTTTAGTCTCCATAACTAGTGCTTCTAGTTTGCAGCATTTGTTTTCTACTGAATAATTATCACTCCTCAATTGCATCTTATGATACAGTTTTGTTTTAATCTGTTACATTAGTTGTACTAGTGGATGTGACAGGTCCGATTTACAATCCTAATGTGATCGGTTACAGTTGATTAGAAATGGGTAGAGAATCGTTTGTTACCCTCGCAACAAATGATGAATACTGTGTGGGTGCACTTGTTTTAGCAGCATCTCTAAAACAATCAGAAACGTCTAAAGAGCTTACCATTCTTGTAACCCCTGGTCTCTCCTCACAGATGAGGTAAGTTGTGACATATATATATCACTGACCTTTAAAGACAACTGCTCTGCAGCACTTATGATAATCTAATCGAAGTACAACCCGTTATAACCAAAGGCTGGAGTCAGCCCGTTATTGGTGGTAGAACTGAGCTCATTGAAACATTCACAAAAATTCAGGTTTGGAGTCTTATCCAGTTTACCAAAGTTGTATTTATGGACGCTGATACTCTGGTAAGATTTAAAATGTTTTTTTCGTCATTTGAGTTAAGTAGATTTTTTACACTTGTTATCTAAATGCATCAATTTTCCGCTTTTTGCAGTCGGAAATCGCCATCAAGTTGTTTAGTTTCAGTAATAAAGATATTAGATCAACTGGCTTTCATAAAACCCTATAATATATTACGTTTAACACTGCCTTTGTCTTAAAGGTTTTTACTGACAAAAATGATGCCACTTGTCTGAGTAAGCAGTTCCAGTATCTGGTCACTCGTTAGGAGATACGGTATTCTACCCTGTATTCTTCAAGCGTAGTGCTCAATCCTTTCTAGGGTTGTCTTAATGTTTTCTCCTACGAAAAGCTAAAATAGTAATTTAGGCGGGAGTCTAAGCATCTGAAGAACCTCTTGTGTTTCATAATTATTTAAATAGATCTAAGCATTTTTATTGCGTCTGCTTTGAAAATTTAAAAAGTGCTAAAACCAAGCTGGTAAACTATTTTCTTATACACCTAGGTGCATCTCTATTTCCGACAGATTTTGATAAGGCCTGCGAGAACTTGTTCGCTAAAATTTCAGGTAAACCGTATTCGATTTACACCTCGCACGATCCATATTATTAAACACATAGGAATCATTTATTGAGTCAGTTAATTTTATCTTCCTCTAAAGACCTACAGAAAACCAGCCTAGAGTTTCATAGTCCTTAAAACTATGTGTAATTTCTAGTTGTACCCCATTTGGCATCAGGTTTTCTATTTTTCGTTTTACTTTACGTCATATACAATTTTCAGACATATTCCATTTTCATACAGAGATGCCTTGACATTTGTTGACTGGTATTTTACATGGTAAAACTTTAAAAATTGTCTTCATGTTCCTATCTCCCTAATCAAACGTCTCTTATGTATACTATGTACGTTCAAATGTGGTATATTAGAATCAGGCAGCTGTATCTACTCAAAAGGTGAAAGCTGGCCCAATCGATAGTAATAATTTCAGAATAATATAAAACGGATCACAAGTGTTTCTGCCTGAAATAGAAAGAAAATCAAATAAAAAAACTAGTTATTTTTCCAGAACGTCTCATTTTGGTTGATTAATGATGGGTCTTCTAATGAATCTAGGTTTTGCAGAACGTTGATGAATTGTTCAACAAATCTGAATTTACTGCAGCACCTGATCCTCTATGGCCAGATTGTTTTAATGCTGGTGTCTTTATATTAGAACCATCCATGGACACGTACAATGGTCTTCTACGAATGTTATTTGACTCTGGCAGTTTTGATGGACGAGAACAAGTAAGTTCGAAAAATTTTATTTGATTATTACTTCTTAGTACAGTAACACATGTTGTTGAATGAGATTCGAATACAAATCGCAGCAAAATGCTGCACATATGAAGTACCATTCCGATTCCTAGGGTTTATGAACTCAAATAATACAAATGTCTTTTATACAGCTAGTTTGATTAATACCCATAAGCACCATACATAACATAACTACTGAATACAAGTTATTTATTAGTTAAACATTTTATATATGTTTGTGAACAGTCCCATTTATCTAGTGGCTTGTGAATAACCTTATTTTTACGCTATTAATAAGAAAACTGTTTTGAAAGTTTAAATAGATAGAATAATTGTAATTCAAGGTTGAAAAAGTCAAATGATACGGAAAACTAAAACGGTTATGTTAGTGCTTATATTTATGATCATTAATGGATTGTTGCATGTTATAAATTCTTGAAGAAAAATACAGATGTCTAGGTATGAGTATCATTTAAATTATATTTTATTAGTAAAAGAATATTCACTGATAATATTCATTCTTATTGGTATTTTAATAGGGTTTACTGAACACGTATTTTTCTAACTGGTTAGAAGGAGATATATCACATAGACTACCTTGTATATACAACTGTATTTGTCGTATATCAGATGACACAAGTTTTGAATTTTATACAAGTAGATCAGCTTGGGTTCAGTTTGGCGGATCTGTACGAGTTGTGCATTTTGCTGGTCCAATCAAACCTTGGCATAAAACTTCCGCAGCTAAAACATGCAGTCAAGCTTCTTTTTACACATTCTTTAAGACTGATAAAAACAGACGATCAATATGTCGTGTAGCTGGTATGCTAGCCTACTGGTGGTCATTATTTCTAATTCTTGTACGACCACAACTTTATCCTGATATGGTAAGTAGAGAAAATTATTTATTTTCTTTCTTCAACCTGTCTGTTTAATACATCACTAAGTAAAAGTTTATGGAAATAACGGTTTTTCTCCTTATCACCACTATTCAGAGCTAAAACACCGAATTAGTGGGTCATCAGTAGAGAGTAATACAACTATAATTAATAGTTTAATTAAGCAGAGTGAAGTTACTTTTTTAATGAAGTTATCAATTAATCTTACTGTAAACAATCATTATCAAATTATTGTACGTCCGTGAAATTTACCATTACCTCTTTGATTCAATTCAAGTTTTTGCTTTGATTGAAATCATTTTAATAAATAATAAAATACAGTTGGTTTTTTTTTAAAAATAGTCGGATCAGTTTATAGTGAAATGTATGAACAAATTGAAAAACTAGAAAAAAGGGAAAATTGTGGAAAATGATGTTTGGACAAATAATTGATCAAACAAACAGTACTGACTACAAGTAAAATTGTTTTGAAATCTAAAAAACGCCAGATATAAATGGCACAATTTGGCTGCGCAGTACTAATTACATGAAACTAGAGATATGGTACTTCACTCAAATGACTGTACTGCATCTCTTCCTCGTTTCATCTTAAAAATGACTACACTTCTCATTATCTAGGCTGCCAGTTTTTGTCGCTATATTTCTATAACATTTTAAAATCTGAGGATATTCTGTCATAGTATCAAACATCCTTGGTTATGCAAACAACTATTTTGTTTTTTTCATGGTAGAGTATTAGCATATACACGGAAAAGGGTGAAATACTCACCTTTTGAAGTGGTAAAACAGATATAGGTCATGCAAACAGTAAATATATAAATAAATGAGAATAGGGCTTGATAAAAGTCAAAGTTTTGTTGATTAAATAATAATGGTGGATTTTGTCCAGTTAAAGCGACTTAGCTTTTATTTGATGAACATTGTAAGAGATAATCTCCACTGGCTCCCATTTTGACCAGTGTATGATGATGTCTCAAGTTGTTGAGTTACTTGATTCTTTAAGCGCCACAGAGGAAGTTTTCATTGGCCAACATATGACAGTTACGTGTCACTGCCGTCCATTCCAAGGCACTATTTCATAAAGTGAAAGCCTTTTAAAATGTTGTTATAAATTCTTTACTCAAACTGACATAAATGTGTGAAGAAGTATGAACATTCATCGTTTAACGTCAAACTGACTAGTTATGTTTACCTGCAATTTCTGATTTACATAAGTATATAGGGTAATATAGATTGCTTTAGTTATCTTTAACCTTCCAAGGCATGGTTTAATGCTTAACGATCCAATCTATGATATTCTGTTGGATAAAGTTTATTATAAGACACATGATTTTTTAAGTCCAGTGAAGAAAAATTTAAGAGTGTTTGAGTTGATTTTTGGATTTACTAGTTGTAAGATATCTACAGAGAAATAGCTTTAGAACAAAAATAATTTATTTCTACTTGTTAGCACAACGACAACATCATCAGTCCTGTTACGATAGTCTTTTTCAATATAATTGAACAGTTCCAAAATATTTATCTGAAATTCACTAGTTTAAGTGTATCATAGAATCTATGAGACATTTAGCTGTAGTGTTAGGTAGATTACGGTAATCTTGAGTGCTATTAGAGGTATGGGGGAGGTTATCACTTCCCGGTTGCCCACACCGTGGTAGGGTTCTTCTGGAGGTACCTTAAAATGAAAATAAACTAGAGTTTGTCTTAGTGACCTGAGAACGTGACGACAGTGCCCAAGAGACAACTGATTGAGGTCGGTCACACACGATCTTTCTGTGAGTAATTTTAGTGGTACCTCCGTACTTGTTGAGACCCTACCGTCCGAGACGGATATCCGTTGGATAAGATGAGATGTGCAATTTTTAGGGTCGACCTTTTCTAACTCCACCCCTCCTTGTGGGAAGTCAGCATCGCTATCACGCTGGTTGTCTGAAGGTAACACCTTACTGCTGCCACAGCTCTGTACAGTCAACAGTACGACTATGCCTTCGGACCTTGGTTTTGTTGCTTTTAGTCTTATCGCTTTTCAACCGGCCCGTCTGGCATGATAGGACCTTGAGGACTGTTGTTGTAGTCATTTTAACTCGGTCGCTTCATCACGATAGACAAGCCTGACCACCACGTCAAGGTAGCAACAACGGTCGGGTAGCTGTAGTTTAGTACACTTGGTTACTCTATATCTACTAGACACAGTCATTAAAGATTAAGGACATTTATAATTAGGGATTTTCTAGTAATTTGTCCAACATGTCTCAATATGTTGCACTCTGTAGTAGGCATGCAGAAAATAAGATCGTTAACTTTACTAAAACCATACCATTATATATAACAGTTTTAATAATGACCTAAACAACATATAACCCATATGTTATGAGCATGCTTGATCTTTATTTTTCATTATTCACTTACTACAATGTGATTAAATACTGACATTTTATGTTTTCCCTGAAACCTTAATGTCGTCATGTTTATTTGCATGATTATTTTAGAATAGTCTACGTCTTTTTTTATACAATTCAATCCTATTGACTAATGCATGACAAAATATTTATTAACTATAAAGTTAATTTCAATGATGATCTAACGTCGATCGGTTCATGATCTTAATCGATAACTTAATAATCTCCCCACTCCCATAGTGATAATTACTAATGACTAGCTTCATGAGGGAATTCTCGGAGTTCTGGAGCTAATCCATGTCGCATAGAGACATGTATCTACCTCATTGCAATGGAAGACAGTCGCGTAAATTTGTGGACTGGTTGAGGTTAGACATTAACACCGCTGGATACCGGCCGTCTCAGTGGTCTAGAGTTTATGCGCTCGTGCGTGAGACTGGAGGCCCTGGGTTCAGATTCCGCGAGTGGGGTCGTGAATGCACACTGCTGAGGAGTCTCAAGATAGGATGAAATGGCAGTTCAGTGCTTCTAGGTTTTAAATGGTGGTCTAATATCAGTCGATCCGTGATTTTGATCAAAAACATAATAATCTCCACAACCCCATACTGAAAATATATAACTGTTGGATGATTTAAAAAAATAGATTGCCTATTAGCTCACAGTGACAGTTTATCTTTTAAATGCCATTTTTGATCAGATTTTACATTTGGCTAAAATATGACTTTACATAAACGAATGATACTAATAGGTATTACGTCTTGGTCATCACTGTAAAAAAGATCATATACCAATTCGTATATCATGATATATATTGTACTACTATTGAAATGATAGAGTAAATTTTTACTTCAGATAGATATATTTCGGTAATGTTTCACCTTCAGAACTGAACGATCAAATGGTAGATCATTGATTATCATTTCAGACAATATCTTAACCCAATAATTGAAGTTAGAGTGAACGTTTAAGAATTCTGTCACAAAAGTTATCATCATGGACTGACTTAACAGTTATGAAGTAGTTAAAAAGCCCACTTTAACTTATAGTGGTCACTGACTGTATTTTCCTGAATAACGATGAACAGCTTTCAATTAAAAAATATATATAGATAAAAAGGAAATAAGACTATCAAACGTTGACTATATTACCGGGTAGTCCATACATTATGAAACATAGGAAGGATTAATATCATATGGGTTTTGTGGATATTATGGTAATTTCAATGGTTAAGATCATGAGTCAGTTGAAACTAGACCACTATGGAAAGCCTGAAAGCACTGGACGGCCGTTTCGTCTTATTGTGGGACTGCTCAGCAGTGCGTATCCACGACCTCTCCCTCTGCGAGATTCGAACCCTGAACCAACTGACTCATGATCTTGACCATTGAAATTACTATAATATCCACAAAACCCATATGATATTGATCAACATATGCTCACTAGTGACTGGCTTCAAGAGGTATATCCTGGAGTTCCAGTGAGAAGTAGTGACCAGTGGAGTTCGACCAGGTCTGTTGTGAGATAGTAACTCACTGAAGACAATGGTGGATGTGTCGCTCAATTTCGTGGATTGGTTGAAGTTAGACATTAACACCGTTGGATGCCTGCCGGCTCAGTGGTGTAGTGGTTAAGTGCTCACGCGCGAAACCAGTAGGTCTTGGGTTCGAAGATCACGGAAGGGCGAGGTCGTGGATGCGCACTGCTGAGTAGTCTCACAATAGGACGAAACGGCCGTCCAGTGCTTTCAGGTTTTCCATGGTGGTCTAGCTTCAATTGACTCATGATGTTAACCAATGAAATAGGAAGGATTGGTTGAATTAAATATTTAATTTCAAAAAACTTGAATTTCTTAATTGTAAAAGAAAAAAAATCACTAGTGACTAACTTCAAGATGGATTTCCTGAAGTTCTAGTGAGACTCCGTGACCAGTGGAGTTCGATTCATGTTACGTAGAGACAGTTATTCACCTAAGACGATGAATGAAAGGTTGCACAAGATCATGGATCTATTGGAGTTAGGCATTAACACCACCTGGATACTGACTCAATATTTTATAGGTTAAGCACTCACACACAAAACTGAAGGTCTTATGTTAAATTCTTATGTACAAAATCGTAAATATATACTGCTAAATAGTCTTGTAATGAAACGAAATGTCTGATCAGTGTTTCCAAGTTTTCAATAATGATCTAGCTTAAATCAAAATCATCAATTCAATTATTAGAATTATTACAATCTCCACAAATCCCTCCATTTGTCCAAATAATTATATATTCTAGATTTTGATAAAATTAACTTTTTTTGTAATGTAGTTTCTTATCTTTTTGATTTATCTTTTGGTAACTCACTGAAGACAATCATGGATGTGTCACTCAATGTCAACAATGATTCATTTTAAGTTTTTGTTTAAATTGATGAATGTAATTCAATGAACTGATGATTTGATATTATGAGTTGGTTGACTTAATCTCAGCATTACATAGATATGTACTATTGTAATACATATATATACATTACTTATTTACTTACTTACACCTGTTACTCCTAATGGAGCAAAGGCTACCGACCAGCATTCTCCAACTCACTCTA